CCCCCCCCCCCTGTTTTTGCTGTTTAGTTTGGTCTCTGGTTTGAGAGACGTCATGTTAATTCTCGTCAAACCAAAAAAAGTAGCATGACGAGAATTAACGTGAAAATAAAATGCATTTTAGAGTTGTGACGTAGACATGTCTTGTAATAGTTTAAGTCCATCGTTAACCGATATTGTCTTATTTAGACTTTTTCTTTCGAGTTTTTCCTCAATGTCGTCTCCTAGGAAGAAGTTACCATACCCTTATAAAAATTGTTTTGTTCTTCGTCCTCGCTGACACTTGTTTTCCACCCCAGTCGATATGAGATCTCATAATCCATCTTCTTTTCGAAGTTCAGTGTCTTCGCAGGCGGTGGCTCGGTGTCCAACTGTAATAGTCCAAGTCTATCGTTAGCAATATTTTCATATTTGAGCTATTTGAGGGTTCTCTTTTTATTAGATTTATATGGAGGAGAGATTTCCATACTATTTTAAAATCTGTATTTTATTTCTTCAATCGTTGGGCTCTCCATCTCTCTCTCTCTCACCATCTGTCCTTAACGACTTCAATCCTGTTTTTTCAACCATCCCCTATCTTTAATCCCTCCAAAATTTCCCACTATAAAAACAACAACAAAAACTTCAATTCTCTCAACCATTCTCTATCTAGATCCCTGAACTCGCCGGACGCCAGCTCCGGTGGTTCTGAAAGCCAGAATTTGGGCCTGAGTGAACATTAACGAAGTTTCAAAATGAGGGACTCCAGTTTCCGGCAGAGGCTTGCGCCTTGGAACTCTCCCCATTTTTCTTTTTCCGATCATCGTCTATTCAAGCCATTTCTCAAGTCTCCGGCTGCATTTTCTCTCATTTTCCTCCTCGCCGGCGCCTTCCTCTCCACCCTCATCCTTTATTCCCCTGTAAGTTTCTTCTTTCATTCTTTCTCCGTTCAATAAGAATGTGCTTAAACAATCGATATGTCGTTTTCTGGTGTCGCTCACTGAAAATTTCCCCGCCGACGAACTGTCGGTTCTTCATTTTCCTTGACAAAAAAAAGGCAGGCCACTTTCCGACGCGTGTTCCTCCTCCTTATTTAGATGTTGCCACGTCCTTTGTGGGCCCCAATTTTGTTTTTGTTTTTTTTTTCTTTTTTTTTTTGAAATCGCCGTAGACTTTCCAAGCCAGCTATATAGGTAGATTAAATACATAAAATATATTTATAATTTAACAAAGAAAAAACAATTTAATTAAACTTGCTTGGATTTTATTTTATTTCAGTGGACAGCGTGGAATTTATCTGGGAACATGATAAAAGGTAGTGCGAAATTCCATTCTTACCCCGACAGTACTTCCGAAATTCCACAAAGACCACACCGACAACGACAAGTCGATTTCCCACTCGACTGCACGTCCTTCAATAACGTCACAAGCGGAGCCTGCCCTGCCACCTACCCGACCATTTGGACTGTGGAGGAAGATCCTAACCTTCCACCGTCATCCACGTGTCCGGAATATTTCCGTTGGATCCACGAGGACCTGAGGCCATGGGCCCAGACCGGAATCACGAGGGCCTCGCTGGAGGCGGCGAAACAGACGGCCAATTTCCGGCTGGTGATTGTGAATGGGACGGCTTACGTGGAGACTTATGAAAAGTCGTTTCAAACCAGAGATACTTTTACGCTGTGGGGCATCCTACAGTTGTTGCGGAGGTACCCTGGAAAAGTGCCTGATTTGGAGCTGATGTTTGATTGCGTTGACTGGCCTGTCATTTTGACCGCCAACTTTAGTGAGCCTAATGGGCCGTCCCCACCTCCTCTGTTTCGTTATTGTGGAAATGATGCCACGCTGGACGTCGTGTTTCCTGACTGGTCCTTCTGGGGATGGTCAGTCCACTCCATCTTTTCCTTTGAAGCTTTTAGTGCTGTGATGATTAAATACATTTGGTATACTTTTTGTAGGTCAGAGATCAATATAAAGCCATGGGAGGTATTGTTGAAGGATCTAAAAGAAGGGAACAAAAGAACGCCATGGAAGAACAGAGAAGCTTATGCATACTGGAAGGGAAATCCGGAGGTCGCCGAGACCCGAAAAGATCTTCTCAAATGCAATGTTTCCGACCAACAAGACTGGAATGCTCGTGTCTTTGCTCAGGTATCAGTTTTCATTTGAATCTTCTTCAATATAAAGCCACTTCATCACTCGTGGGTCAAGCTCAGCTCATCGTATTATGCTTCAAAAAACAATTTTCAGGATTGGATGAAAGAATCCCAGCAGGGATACAAGGAATCAGATCTTGCAAACCAATGTCTTCATAGGTACAATTTGAAGGATATGGATTTTAAAGAGAAAAACTCAGTTTTCTTGGAAAAAAAAGCTCTGTTTTCCTCTGATTTAAACTCATTTGCAGGTATAAAATCTATATAGAAGGATCTGCTTGGTCTGTTAGTGAAAAGTATATTCTTGCTTGCGATTCCGTTGCCTTAATCGTAAAGCCCCATTACTACGACTTCTTCACCAGAGGTTTGATGCCATTGCATCACTATTGGCCTGTCAAGGATGATGACAAGTGCAAGTCTATAAAGTTTGCAGTTGATTGGGGCAACAGCCATAAGCTAAAGGTAATTCTACCATAGGCCTAGCTAGTTCGTATGTCGAGTTACTTATCGAGTTTCGGGTATAAGATTGTGTATTTATGTCGATGGTTGCTCAGGCAAAGGCCATTGGTAAAGCAGCGAGCAGTTTCATCCACGAGGAGCTGAAGATGGACTATGTCTATGACTACATGTTTCATCTTCTAAGTGAATATTCTAAACTCCTTACTTTCAAACCGACGATACCGAGCAATGCGATTGAGCTTTGTTCGGAGACCATGGCTTGTCCAGCTGAAGGGCTCACCAAGAAATTCATGATGGAATCATTGGTGAAGAGCCCTGCAGATTCGAAGCCGTGCGCGATGCCACCCCCATATGATCCCGCATCGCTTCATCTTGTTCTTAGAAGAAAAGAGAATTCAATCAAACAAGTAGAGGAATGGGAGAACACTTTCTGGGATGCTCAAAGTAGGCAGCCATAGACACAAAGACACCCTCCTTACTCAAAGCAGGTATTCATTACATGCCATTTTCATTCTCTAAGAATTTGAATAGAGAAAGCCTAATGAATGGTGATCAAATCATACAAAAACTCATCTGGGTGTTCTTCTTTTACTTGTTTTCTTCGTCAAGTTCAATCATTTTCTTAAAACAGTGAGTGAAAGAATGAACTTTATATATATTTATCTATAGAGAATTACAGCAGATCATCAATAGAGCTTTGGAGATGAGTGAAACCCCATGAAGAAAAAGGCAAAGCATGAAGGAAAAGAAAGTGAAAGAGTAATGTTCACAACGTTAATTGTCCGCAGACTCAAAAATGGAGGAAAAGTGAGCTTAAAAGGCTCGAGCTTTGATAATGTCGAAGCTCATTTCGCTGGGATCTGTGGCTTGCAGTTCCACCTGAATTCCATCCAATTCCCTCTTGAATCTGTCCTTGGAGCTCGCATAAACCATCTTATTTCTCACTATCGATGTGTCGGGGGACCTTCAAAACAGAGACAAGCAGACAACCTCAGTTCATATGCATGTCTTCAAGTTTTAAGGTTTCATTTATGTAACAGAATTGGATGGAAAAGTTGAAATTCTGTCTCCTTACAGACCCAGAAGGCAATCAAGTCATGATGTTTTGGATAATGTTTGATTGGATTGCTACCAATATCATAAATGTCTTTTCATAATGTTCGGTTATGTATCCAAAGGTGTCATGAGAATTTAGAAACATTTTCTAAAACTATAATTAAAAAAGTTTTCAAAATACGAGAACATCGAGAACTATGTGTAGTGTTCATAGTCTCAATTTTCGAAACGTGAAAGGTAACATTAAATATTACGAGACGGAATATAAATATTAGATAGAGGAGAAATTGGATGTTACCAAGCTATGAAGAAAATCTTGCTTTTCTGGCAGTTCTCGTCAGTGGTGAAATCAAAGTCAAAGACAGCATAGCGACATTCATCAGAAGGAATGGCAGCAAGGAAATCATCATAAGTTTTTTGAGGACTCCCGAGCTTATCCACAACAACTTCTTGATTCTCAATCTTGAATACAATGAATCGATAGTTCCTCTTCGTTTTCAATTCCAAAAATTTGAGCTTACATTCATCACTCACAGCCATTCCAGATGCGGCGTTCGCCTAATCCATAACAACCACACATCAATCCATTCTATATTTCACTTTTTTTTATTTAATTTCATCATTGCCAACAAAAACACAAATTTCATATCCATCTATTAAAGATTCAAACTTTTATACAACATTACAAGTGACTGTGACCTGAAACAACAACGTGACAGTTCCAACTTTTATCCAACATTGTAATTTAACGCAATAAGAATGGGGATGAACATGCAAGAAACTAAGAACAAGTAACAAAAGAAGATTAGAAAAAACAACACTTGGGCATGAAAGATGTGTGTGAGAGAGAGAGATGGAATTACCATATTTGCGTGTGGAAGTGTTAGGAAAGGGGGAGAGAGATGGGCGTAGGGAGAATGGAGGATAAGAAAAGAGAGAAGAGAAGAGAAAAGGTAAGAGGGAGAGATCCTTATTTTGTGGGAGAGAGAGATGAGAGTAAAGAAGAGTAATTTGAGGGACAAATCCAAGGCTCACAATTGGTTTCTATGGCTGATTATGTCCTCATCCACGTCTCTTCCTTAAACAAAGCTCCACAACATAACAAACCTCCTTAATTTTACCAAACTACATCAATTTTAGACACAAATGTCTCTCATATTTACTTCAAATTTGACCAATTAATGTTGTAAATAATGGGTGATGTTCCAAAACTACCCACTTTTTCTCATACAGCCATCTATGCTATCATTCAATTCAATCCATGAACTTCACAACTTTGGGACCCTTTTTCTTTTCCACTTTTGCATCCTTCATCTGCAAATGATCTTCATCGATGTTGAAATCATCCTCGAGATCATCACCGCTCACACGCCTCGTCTCTGGTCGTCTATGCATTTCCACATATCCAGATGCTGAGACAAGAAAATGAATGATTACTCATAATATTATGTTTCCCATTCATGCTTTGCAAGATATTATCATAGATTGTTTTACAAGATGTTTGTCAATCCTGAAAAGAACAGCTTTCCACAGTGGCAGTTTTGATCGAAACATCTCTTTTTTGTGTGTTCATGAATTCCCAGAAAGGTACTTGATACAAAAACAAGAACTAACGAAGAACTTTGGAAGATTCAAAATCATTTACTTTGATCAACATGGTTGTCCTACAAAATCCTAGAAAATGAATGCAGATCATCATATCACTGTTATTTGATACTCATCCATGCAGGCTTGACCTTGAGTGGATGAAATAATATGATCAAAGGTCATGGTTTCTATGTCTAACCCTCGTATCTCAGTCAAAATGGAGATGATTCAAAATGGTTTCTATGTCTAACACACACAAAATGAAAAAATAGAAACAAATTTGGAAACTTACATCTGTTACCATCATAAGCCCCAGCAGAAAATTGGGTGGCTTTGTTTGGACAATCCTTAGCTAAATGTGTGACTTCCCCACAAGTTTTACAACAACCTCCCTGCAGAACATCATAGGAGGGCATCCTTAAAATTGTATGATACGAGGAAACTGAGGGACAACCTAGAATTCATTACAGCAAATACCTTAGGGTAGATCCCATGAGTGTTCTTCGGACAGTTTTTGCTTAAGTGTCCACTTTCATTACAAATAAAGCAACTGGCGAATTTGGTTCCTCCTACAGTTCCAAGATGGAAAACGAGACATATAATTTAGAAGAAGAAAACCCCATAAGAACTCCAGTGAATGAATTGTAATAAAATTTACCATCTTGAAGAGGCTGCGGACAATTAGCCAGTGAATGTCCTGTTTCACCACAGTTATAGCATAACTTCTTATCCACAGTCCTTTCATTTTTGTCTGGGCAATTTTTGAGGCTGTGCCCTCGTCTCCGACAAAGCAAGCATATCTGAGAATGCCAAATGACAGGACATAAGACTCCCTTCAGCATGACACTATCGCAAGAACTTTGCATTAATGTCCAGTAATGATATGCAAAAGCAAGCTATTATACCTAAAAGAATCATAGTTTTGCTTAACTTAATGGAAATTGTTTAACTAAATCAAGGTGGAACTTAAATCACAATTATTATATCAGATATCATCACAAAGCTCTTCCAAATAATCCATGCCACCCTCCACCCCAAGACCTTTATCAATCTATCTCAAAGTGACAATAGTTTGCATCGAATAGGAGAGGAAAATCCAATCCTAACTTGTAACGACCCAGATCCACCGCTAGTTAATATTGTCCTCTTTGGACTTTTCCTTTCAGGCTTCCCCTCAAGGCTTTAAAAAGCGTCTTGGGGAAGGTTTCCACACCCATATAAATGGTGGTTTGTTCTCCTCCCTAACCAAAACCAACGTGGGACATCAAATAACCAATGTCACGGACACCACATTCATTACCGTGATAGCTTTGGAAAGAGAACCCTATTCTATGAGCAAGATTTCCATAAACTCGGTGAACAGTGGAACACCAGAAACACTTAGGGATTAACGGAAAAACAAACCTTGTTCTTCTCCCATTGAGCCTTTTCGGGGCAAAGCTTAGCAATGTGGTCTTTGGCCTTGCAGATGAAGCAGCTTTCTCCGGGTTTCATCCCAGGCACTCTAAGAGGGTGTTTCTTAAAACCCTTCTTGTGGGGTTTATTTGGGTCTCTGGTTGAGTTCGATTCTGCCTTCTTGCGCTTGAATTTACTCTTCTTCTTCTTCTTGTCGGGGTCTTTAGGTGGCGTTGGCTCTACTTCCGGAAACAGTTCCGGGTGTTCTTCTCTGTACTTTTTCCGGGCAAGTCTTTGCCTTTGGCTCACCATCTTCACCTGAAAAAGGGTCCTTCACGATCGGAAGGTGAAGGCTCCGGCGAAATCCCGATGAGGTTTTTCAACGAACCGAGTGGCGGCGAGGTTTATGTGATTGCAAACTTCAAAAGTTTTAACATTACTTTTAATTCTGTCATAAACAAAAAAAAAATTAAAATTACATATTTACCCTTTGTTTTGCTAGTTAGTGTCTTGTCTAAAATATCAACTTTAAACTTTTTTAAAATATATTTAACCTAAGAAAAACAAAATTAAAATTACTTTTATTGTTAGTTTAGATAAAACCCATTATTATTTTTATGTTAAAATAAGATTTTTCCCTATTATGATATCACATCTCCGTTTGTAAAGACAACATAGAAACTCCTAACTATCAGACACATTCTAAAACATAGACGAAAAATCCTGGATCAGAAGTCCAAAGACACATTTTAAAATTTTGAACAGAATGCTGAGAGAGAACAAACATTTGAACCGAAATCTCATAAAAGATAATATCTTTAGAGTGAAAATTAAAAACTTTTTTTTAGAGTGAAATACTAGATAGAATAATTTCTGCAATTACTATTAAGATTTTAATCTTTAAAATTAATTATATTCAAGAACTCCAAATAAATGGGGGATTGGTGGGTTAAAATTCTTATATTTTCTCCAATCATTCAAATGAAAGTTTAAATTTTTATTACTATCTAAATTCCATTACAACAGTAAAAAGACAGTAATTTTATATTAATTCCGCCTAAAAACTATTTAACACGATCCTGTTTCATTCTTTATTTCTTTCTCCTTCCTCCGATCAAGCTCCATTCACGGCCGGCGCGACTGCTGGAGCAACCGACAGAGACATGGCCCGACCTGGCCCTGGCGCAGTTGACAGAGACACTGGCTGAACGGGTCCCGGCGCCACAATCCCAGAGCTTCTAATCTCCGACATTCCTCTTCTCACATTTCCTCCTTGAGCTTCACAAAGCTTCGGAAGAAAAACGCCTGTCCAATAAACACGCAAAATGTCAAACTACCATTCACAAATTCATTGTTAAAACGGAAATTACGAGTCACCTTCACCGGCGGCGAGGTTGAAGAAGAGGTCGACAACATTGGAGCAATGATTGTAGCAGCGAGAGGAACAGAGGTCGCGAGTGAAGCGCGTGTCGAGAAGGGAGTCAGAGGAGATACCAAGGGTGTTCCTGTCGAGGCCACAACCTTCGATGCACTGCTCTGTTTCAACGATGTTCTGTAATTGGTCGGCCTCGATCTCCGACGTCCGACATGTGAACGCTTCTTCTCCACTGCGCTTCACTGTCTTTTCAAGCACGCACCGCTTTCCCGACCACGACACTGCAAATGCGCACCTGCTTTTCTCCAAAGCCTCGCACTTTATCATGCTGCTGCTTCCTAGTGATGTTTGGAAGGAGAGAGCGATGAGAAGGGCAAGGATTGGAAGATGGGTGAAGCCCAATTTTGAAGAATCCATATTGGGAAAGCTTGAAAAGAGCATCAATGGAGTTCTTCTGGGGCAGAGTGCTTGGGGGATTCAAGAACAATGGGGGGTTTTTATAGATGAGATTTGGGAAATTAAAAAGAAGAAAAGAAAATAATTTAATTTAATTTTCCATTGATTACTTGGAGTTGGACTGTTCTCTCCAATTTTGTTGTATTAAATTTGGTTAATTAATGAACGGAATTAATGTTCAAACCATATAGTAATCAATGGATGTGGGAAACCATGAAAATGGTCAAAAAGGAGGCTTTCATGTCCACAGCCATCCAGAATGTAGCTACCTTAACTAACCTCAATGACGCCACCATTGATGGCACCAATTTTTTTTCCTTTTTCGGGTGGGGACGGGAAGTCTTCCTGGTCCGGATCATTGACTCCTATTGCTGTCTCAGGTTGAACAGATTCACGATAAATTCGTTTTATGTATGAGTTTCCATTCTTATATTAAAGTGGTTAGCTTTACATACTCTCCAATATAGCATTATGGAACGACTATTCCTATCTTATTTATCCCGCTAGTTTGAGCTCGGAGAATTTTTTTTTTCTTTTCTTAAATAACCTTGAAAACTACTCTCTAAGGTAGGGTTTATAAACTTGACTTAATTTTTTAACGTATTTTAATTTAATGAACACGTTACTGAAAATTATACTATATTTCTTAATATTTTACTTTTTATATTATAATTAGTAATTAAGATACCAATTATTTAAACCGATTTATATAGACATTTCTTAACTAAAACAATAATTAAGCCATATGTAACGAAAAGTTATTATATTATAGGAATTATCCCAGAAATTTCTTCCTCCTTCAAACAAATTAAATGGAAATAACAAGAATAATTAAATAATTGTAGCACGTAATAGGAGTCAAAGAGTTTTAACTCAACTTCATTCTAGAAGCATATAAAGTTAGGTAAATAATGAACGACAAGTTTGAGTATAATTTAATTGATTTTTTTTTACCTATTTAAATTTTAAGTCCGATAAAAAAAAGTTTAAATATTTATAATTACACGGTGGAGGTCGTTTTTACTATGTAATTTGGTGAATTTTAAATGAAATTAATTTAATTTTGTAACGTTTGCATCAAATCAAAGCTGTTATGAAACTTTGAATGAATAATTGTGAGAGAAAAATCAAAAGGAAGATGTACTAATTGGAAAACTAAATTAAATGAAACAAAATTTTGTTGGCTTTGTTAGGAAAGTAATAAAGGACCAAACACTTTGGTTTGAAGGCCAAATTCAATAACAAATTTTCTTAACTTTTTCTACTTAGTCAATTAAAAGTACTGTTCGTAAAAGAAAATTGTACCTCACCAAAGTTTTCTACGAATGTCCCTTTCAAAAATATCTTAATAAAAACAATAATATTCGACACATAATTATAATTATAATGTTATACTAATTTAGAGGATGATCATGGATTTATAATCCATGAATACTCTAGCATTTTTGGGAAGACCCAAAATTTTATGCTCCAAAATTTTATGCCCAAATTTTTATACAGAGTGGACAATATCATATTATTAGTGTGGATGGCGGAACATAAATTTAAATTTTAAAACTTTAAATTTAATCGGACAAAAAATTAAAAAAAAAAAAAAGGTCTCCACTGATTACGGGGAAACCCATTAAAATGAGGCTGCCATGGGCGACATTTGAAACTTCTAATTTGGACTTTTAATTAAAATTTAATTTCCTCCCATTCGTTGGGGCATTTATTAGCTTTTTATAGTTATTAAGAGTAGTTGCATTGCCACCTCATCTTCAACGTGTTTTTTTTTCTTCTTTTTTTAGGAAACACTTTTTAACAGGTCTGATTTTCAAATATTGGGAGACTTTCACACCGCTAATTCAAAATTTGCCTAATCTTTCATTCTAATTAATCTACTAACCTAACTAACTTAATTATGATGCCAAATACTTTAGTACTTTAATATTAATGTGATTATTAGTTGTCATATTTTTTTGCTTCTAAAATTTATATATAATTGTGATTTTTTTATTATTTTTTTTATTGAGAATGAAAATTGAAAAAAAAATAAAAATAGTAAACAACTATGAGACTCTTAGTTCAACACCAAGAGATAAGGTTGTTACTAAATTAGAACTAATTGGCGTTAAATTAAATAAAAGATCATCCATGTCATGGGTTCGAATCGTAGGGGGATGCATAAATTTTATTTATACATAAATATTCTTTCCGGCCCATTCAAGCCAGCGCAGCCCATCAACCCCTTGTAACACTGGCCTTCGGCCCAGCCAGCCCAATACCAAGAACATATTTATATAAAAACAAGAACTAGTTTGTCATACCTGACAAATTCATCTGATTAGCAACACGAGTATTAGAGCTATTGATGGATGGTTCCTAAGGGATCGCACGATCCAATAAACAATCGAGAATCGACTCCAACATCGTGAGCGTGACAAACATATTGGATCAATGCGATCCCTTTGGAACTCTCCACCAGCCCTAAGGTTCACCCTAAAAAATGGAAAAAAAATGTGGAAAGACTATACAAAGAATGCTTGTGGAGAATATATATTTTAATTATAGCACCGTCTTAATAGGTTATTTATAGAAGAAGAGATAGGCAAGTGGGCTTGTTTTGTCCCACTAGCTACCTTGTATCTGTTATTCTTTGAGCGCTCATGTTTTAAGTGTGGTTGGAGTTTTAGGCAAATTTGATAACCAATTCTCTTTCCATACTTTGTAAAATTAGTGATTAAGTAGTAATTTGCATATTGGATGATAATAAATCAATTAGGCGTTTTCACTCATACAAATATTGAACTAAGATTAAGAAGGTTTGCCGTAAAGATTTCATTTAAATTTAAACTCAAATGGATCGTCCTAATATTTCTTTTGATTTCTCCGAAAGGGTTTAAATTTCGATGGTACTACACAGGAATGCAGAAAATAAAATATAAACAAATGGAATATGCCATAACAACCAAATGTATAATTTGAATTTGAATGATGTTACATGTAACTCCTAAGAACAAAAAAAATCAATTTTCTTTTGAAATAATATTGTGTGCTATAAATTCGTGTGTGTACGTGTATTAGCTTCTGTGCGTCTCCTTCCCTGTGAAGAAATTAGCATGAACAATATATATATGAAAATGAATACGAATGAGAAAAATAATAGCAGAGTTGTTCATGGTATAATATTATGGCAAGTTGAGTCGCATGGATAAGCACAGTCAATCTCCTTTGTGTTCCTCCTGCCAAAGTACCAATCTCCAACTGCTTCTGCTATTGTCTGCAAAATATAACCCCAGACTCGTTGATTTTATATTGTATTCGTATCGACGTGAATGATACTTTTTAAAGTTAGAGACTTATTAGACACAAAATCAAATGTTCGAAGATATTCTAAGTATATTGTGATTACGAAGGGAATACCTTGTCATCTATTGTTGGGGAGTCCTCTCCAAACCATGTGTCTTGTGACTCACTTTGGCAGTGAGCAAAGCATGAATTTATGAACATTCCTCCTCTGCTTGAATATTCATAGAATAATCTTAATGCAGAAAGCATGCTGATTCTTAGACCTAAAGATTTAAATTTAAGAAAATCAAACCAAATAATAAGGTTGTAAACTGAACTTGAAAACTAAATTTGCTCGTGGTAATTAATAGGGAAAAATGGGGAATGTGGGGAGTACCTTGCAGTACCTGAATCTGTTGTTCACTACATTCTGCTGGATTGAGTTTGCAGTGGTTCCAATGCCCACGTAAATCAGCAGATGGTGGCACCAATCCGTGATGGAACTGTTTGATTCAAATCACTTCAAATTAGATATGATCCTTACGAACTTATTTGAAATTTGCAAGCACTTTTTTCCTTACTTGGAAAACATCATAGGCTGAATTCAGAACGAAAAATGGTGTTGTTATGTACTTCAAGGAATATTGAGGGAATATACACTGCAGATTATCAAGTTTAGAAGAATTTAATTAGTAAGAACAAAATAAAGTGATATCCAGATTGTGGTGGGTAAATGAAGAACAAGTACCAATTCTGGAAAGTAAGAGGCGGCTGTGCAGTCTTCATTCAGATTTTGCTGCATCCCCTGTCATCCACACCTTGCACCACATTATTTTATGTTCAGAACACACACACAACACTACTTTCATCTCTTTTCATATTTCATTTTTCCAAAAGCTAAACTAATACTAATACTAATACTAATACTAATAATGATACAATATGAATATAAGAGCATTGAATTGTGTTGATATTGATGGGGAAAAATAACGTACCTGCAGAGCCACAAGATCCCTATAGAAGTTCCTCATGGTGTGATTTAAACCTGTATCCCTTCTGTGAAAATGGAGAACCAAACAGGTAATTCCACAAGAAATATCGCTAATCCCTTTTGTTTCCATGGGAAGTTTACATGAACTTTCAAAATGGTTTAAGGAAAAAGAAACGAACTCACAAGTCAAGAAAAAATCCAGCATCACTCAAGCATTTGACACTGGCATTCCTTGGCAAATACTTGGAGAAATTCTCACAATGCAGAAAAGTTGCTAGACCTCCAGCAGAGCAACCAGAGAGCAGAGCCTGCAGAAACGCCAACAAAACAGAGCTTCAATTACTTTTCAGTGTTCTTCTTCCATGTTGGGAAGGAATCTGATGCAATTAACCATGATACTTTAGAGGTCAAATCAAGACATGAAATAGCAGCATTATTAATTTTAAGACATACTTATATATATTCGTACCTTCCTTGCTGTCCCCAACCCTTTTGGTAGAAGATCGAGAATGATGGATTCCCATATCTTTTGCCCTTTGAAATAAAGCAGCGATGTCTGTGTTTTTGAAAGCGGCGGAGATTAGACAGATATGGTTTCCGGGAATATCAAAATTTCAATTTAAACCCTAAATTTTCAAAAATTCAAACCCTGTATTATTGGTTCCTAGTCATTCACTTCATTCAATCTAAAATCAGCTATAAATCGCCAAAATTATTGGAAAAGAAAAATAGCTAGATATTTTTTCGCTAATTTATATTTATTTTTGCATTTAAATATAAAATAATAAAAAAAAGACAGAAAATTACCCCATTGTCAAACAAGGCATTTCCTCCAAACGAGGCTCCATCACAGTACCTGAGTTTCACACGGTTCCAATTATAAAAATCTGCTCCACAGAGACCACCAAGATGACAAAAGGATTAATAAGGCTCATGCTTCTTTAATTAAAGAACAATTTGAAAGCCGTCGCGCAAACCCAATGTTTAAAACGTTGATATCTCATGATGTTCATACAAATATCGATAAAATGTCAATGTCAATATTAATAGATACTTGAATTAACATTTTATTGTTTTTTTTCTTATATTATATGGACTTTTTTACAGACCAACTTGTAGTTTGTGTTGTTTTGTGTCAATGTCGAATCTTTATAGAAACATAATTGAAACTTAATACGAAGGGTGGAACCTAAGTTGGACTTTTGAGGCAACAACTCTAGTTTAGGTCATATAATGGACTAGCTGTCAGCTTTTTCACAAATAATTCATTCACGTGAAGCCTGCAGACAAGACACAGACCACCCCCCTAATTTACCAGAACGTGGGACATGTTCTGGTCATGCCTTTCACTTTCCCCCCCTTTACCCCCACCAAAATTTTCAAATCTACCCTGTTTCTTTTCTAAATTATCCAAAATGTCCTCAGAGGCATGATTAAAAGAAATTATACCTGGGTTAAGGGAGGCGTTGTTGGAGAGGATGCCAGAGAAGTCTTCCCATTTGTTCATCAAACGCGTTGATCCTCTTCGGCTATTCGCTCTCTCCAAACAAGACTTTACATCGTTGCACCACCCACCACCCTATCATTCAATTCTAACTTTCGTCAACATTACTCATTCCTCTCTCAATAACACCATATTTAGTCAACAATTCCATGTAAATTTAATCTAATTTGGGGGTTAAATAGCAATAAAACTAGACCCACCAAACATGGGATTTAAATATGCAACATATGGGAATACCGACAATAGTCCCAACACGACATAGAACACTGTGCACACAAATCTCATAAACGATGTCGTACTGGTCTCAGAGAACAGATACAATTTCTGCAGAACTTTTTTTAAAAAATTACGTCAACTCCAGCATACATAATGGCTTGTATAAAATTGGCATAATAGACCGGAATACTTATAATCCACAAAATAATAATAATTTATTGATATTAAAATAAGGTAAGAAGTCAATTAAACAAACTAAAAGAGTATTACCACAAGACAAAATATATATTTATCTTATGTCAGTTGTGAATTAATTAAACTTAATCAAACATTATATTATCAATTAAAACGTCCAGATTTGAATTTCGAATTTCGATTCTCTGGGAGGGGTTGATGATTATGCCAGATAGGGGTCAAACGTGTCGTGTACTCATTGGACGAGGCCGAATTAATTATAATTCTCAAGAAGAGGAATAAACAATAAAATTAGAGTAAAGAGCGGAGAAATTATTCACCTCGAACTGTAGAAGCCAGTTTCCCGCGCCGGCGCCGAATCCTCTGTCCAGGTGATACGCCGGCAAGCTTCCGTCTAAACAGACTAATCCAAATACAAAAACAAAATCCGATCAAATGCCAAATTAGAGACGGAAAGAAAAGGAAACGAATCTTTTTCACTTACAGGCGCCGATGGAAGAGGCGTTTTGGACCACCGTCATCTCCACTAGGAGCCGCGCTCCGGCGAGCGGCCACCGCAGCGCTGCAGCAAGAAGTAAAAGAACTAGTAATGGAGCTTCGACGGCGGCCAGATTCATCTTGAGGCGTCGCCGGAGATTAGCGACGGTGCATTCGAATGAGTGGTTGGAAGTGGAAAGTGTTTGGAGGGAGGATTTGAAGTACGAGTGTGTTCGGCGAATGAAATGGTTCAATGTGGGCTTCGACCGGGGGATTTATTACATATGGGTTGGATAATGATTTGACATTGGATAAGGACAATATTTACGTTAGTTGCCACTGGGACCTAAAAAGAGAGTTAGTTTCATTGAGTTGGGTGTTGTTTCTTACCTGTTTATCTTGCCGCTTCTTTAATATTTTTTTTAAAAAATTAACCTATTTTTCATATATAAAATTAAATTTCATTTAATGAATTTAGTATTTATTATTAATAATAAATTTCAACTTATTTCAAGATTAAATTCTTATTTATTAATTTAAATATTTCTTATAATTTTAGAACTTTTTAGAAATATTTATCAAAATATTGTTAACGAGTCGGGTCAAGTCGGGTCAGTTGGGAAAGATGATTTCTTGGGCACAGGGACCAATCTGCAATTTATCTTCATACTAATCTGTAAATACTCCCTTTTGCGAGGAGGAGAAAATAATAATGAATAAATAAATACTCTCTCTTTGCGTGCGAAGAAGGGCTACTCTTGTAATTAAGCGAAATAATTTTTGTTTACATTGAGCACCCCATTTCGAGCAAATAGATTTGGCCGATCAGACTTCAGAGTGGCTAAGAGGAAAGGTCCTGAGTTCGAAGAGCTTCGAAGTCCAAGGTTAGTCTTCTTCGTTAATCGTCTGATTTTGAGGAACCCTAATTTTGCAATCTCCTTGAGTGAGAGCCTTGATCGCTTATTATGTACGTATATGGTTCTGTGTCTGCGCTCGTTGTCACTGCACTACGAGTAGGATTTTGTTGTTTTTATGTTTTTACCATAGATATGCGTTAATTCTGTGGATAGATGTTGTCAATTGCCTGGTGTATCAATTGGAAAGATAATGGGAGTTGCATTTCCAGGTCCCGTCGACCTCTTGTCTGGTTGTTGAGGAAACGAGGAATTGTTTCGAGAAATTGTTTGAATCCTTTCGACGGTTGGTAGCTGATATAATCATTGACTGTGTTTGTAAATGTCTTGGTTCTTGGGATAAGTCATCTAATGATTTTCCCATATTGCATTCTCTCTACTGATTTAGTTGTGAGCTGGATGGGAACCGACTGGATTGACTGCAGAGCTATTCGTTTAAAATACAAAGTTATGATAATATTTCCAGAAATTTATTGTGTGGTTGAATTTTCTACTGCTCATTTTGTTTTTTTTATTTTTCCTTCTTCTCCATTTCCAGTTTAAGAAATTTCATAGCATTTGTTTATTGCTGAACATCGTATGCAATTACTCTTTTCCCTGAGGCCTTAACTTAGAATAGATTCTTGAAAGCCAGCATTTAAATGGTTCTTCATATTTTGTTTGCTGCGCGTGCATGTGTGTGTTTTCTTTAGTTAATGAACTGCTGCTTTTGATCTTGCAGGTTGCATGAATTTCTCTGGTCAAGCTTACATCAGAGAAAGAATGCAACTTTGGTTGCCAAATTTACAATTTTAGGAGTTTTAAATTGACAACAAAGTTGAAGAATCACAATTAGTTCATTATGGAGTCTTTGTGGAAACTTCTATATTTGCTGGAACCTGCACCTGTCACTCTCATTGTGACTGCAGTGGCTGTTACATTTGGATCAGCTTTCCGGGCCCTAAATTATGGGAAGGAAATGGAGCGAAACCGTGACTTTTCAGAAGCTTCCATTACCTTAGACAGATCCCAAGCACTAATGATCCCAGTTATGAGTTCTTGCAGTTTGCTTTTGATGTTCTACCTGTTTTCTTCCGTGTCTCAACTTCTTACTGCATTCACAGCAGTTGCTTCGGTTTCATCCCTCTTCTTCTGTTTAGCGCCTTACATGGCCTGTTTAAAGTCTCAGTTTGGATTGGCTGATCCTTACGTATCAAGGTGTTGTTCCAAGTCATTTACACGAATTCAAGGGTTATTGTTGATGGCATGTTTTGGTTTAGTTGCAGCATGGCTTGTTTCTGGGCATTGGATATTGAACAATTTGTTGGGAATTTCAATATGTGTTGCCTTTGTCAGCCATGTACGTCTCCCTAATGTTAAAATATGTGCAATGCTCCTCGTTTGTCTCTTTGTATATGATATTTTCTGGGTCTTCTTCTCTGAGAGATTCTTTGGAGCTAATGTAATGGTATCTGTAGCAACTCAGCAAGCATCGAATCCTGTTCACACAGTTGCTAATAGTCTGAGTCTTCCTGGTCTGCAATTGATAACTAAGAAGCTGGAGTTACCCGTCAAGATAGTTTTTCCAAGGAACTTACTTGGTGGAGTCATTCCAGGAAAAAATGCCACTGATTTCATGATGCTTGGCCTTGGTGATATGGTATGCTATTGTATTTTCCCTGCATTTTCTTTCGTCATATAACTTCCTCCAGCAACAGTTGTTAATATTAAGTTTGTTCATCTTTCACTGGTAAGACTTCATGAAATTAGTCACCTGCCGTTAAAATACAATTACAATGTTAATCAAGATCAGAAAATCCTGCAACTCAACATTATGCTCCATTATATCAATATGGTAATTGTTGTTTCTTGCCTGCATCTGGATACTTGGAGACCTATTTCTGTGTGAATTTCTATCTATAAAATGGAACAATAGACTTTGATAATTGATATAAACAAAAGGAAGGGGAAGACCCTAGCCACCAAGTGTGGATTTCCGTGAAGACCTTCATTCCTGTTCTGTCTTGATCAAACCCACTGTTTTTGTAATGTTCGTTGTTTCACATTGTAGGCAATTCCTGCCATGTTTCTAGCTCTAGTTCTTTGTTTTGACCATCGGAAGAGTAGGGATACAGTCAATCTCTTAGATATGCACGCAAGGGGCCACAAGTACATTTGGTATGCCCTGCCTGGTTATGCCATTGGGCTGGTGACCGCTCTAGCAGCTGGTGTTTTGACTCACTCGCCTCAACCTGCCCTATTGTATCTGGTAATGCTGTTTCATCTTTCTACGTTATTCATATCTGATGTATGCACACATATACACACACACAAGATAAAAAACAATTTCACTGATGTATGAAATTACAAAAAATGATGGATAATCCATGGTGATTACGAAAAGCTTGCCCAAGTTGTTAATGGAGTAGCATAACTATAAGAAGAAAAGATATTGGTAGATTTACATCGAGAGATAGCATGATAGACAACAGAATCATAAAGCTTGTAAAAAAGAACTTCTTTATCCAAAAAAAAATCTTCGGTTTCTTTTTTTTTTTCAAAGATTCCAAAGAAAAGCCCTGATGATAAATTTCCACAACAAAGCTTTAGCTTCCCTGAAAGGATGATCCGACAAAACCATGGAAGGAAAAGTCATTTCTACATCGTGTTTTCTACGCCTACAATCTTTTCTACATCATTCATGTATGCATATTCTTATAAGAGCTTAGATTATTGGAAAATGAGTCCTGTTCCTCCATTCTCCTCCACATTTAGTAAATTATCAACTAGTTAGTTAAGTGGCATTTTTAGAGAGAAAGAGGGAGTCCCGAGATCTTTCTACATCCCGAGTCATTGTTCTTCTAAGTTTTCGCCCTCATAAATTAATACATTGAAACTACCTTAAGCATTGAAATATTTCATGTTGGTTGAAAATTCGAATATCTACATCTACAAATGTAATATTACATTCTCAAATGAATGAGGGACTCGATCACTGTTACTTATCTTCTGCTTCTTACTCTTGTATTCTTAATGGTGTCTGCAGGTGCCTTCTACATTAGGACCTGTTATTGCCATATCTTGGATGAGGAAGGATTTTTTGGAGTTATGGGAAGGGCCTTTGCCGAACCCCAATGATAAAGTACGTGAAGTAGAAGTAGTTTGAATCACTCGCCTCTTCTGCGCAATACCCCTCTTTCTTTGTTCATGAAGAGAGCTGTAAAATCATTTGCTGTATCAAATGCCATCCTTTGAAAACATTTGTTATCTGTATGAAATTGCACGGCTTACAAAAGTTCTGTTTAAACGCTCGACTCATTAATGAAAGGGGGTAAGAATGCATCAACTTTGGTGTGGCTAACCTGGGAAAAAATGATCTCTTGCTTCGATTTCATTTACTCGATTCGATGATGCATCTAGGGACATGGATCCCTTATGTTTATATATTTAAACACTCTACCTTTTGATTTTCATAGGAAGACTCAAAAGAATCGGTAAGGATTTTATTATTCGTTGTCTAGGTTTGTATCTCTTGGAAAGGAGAAAAATTAAGTTGGTCTTCAACCACTCGGACGAAACATACGCCTTTAGTTTATCACGATATATTTTTAGATTATATGGTTCAAAAAATCTTTTTTCAATAGTTTCAAGTTTAAACTAGGCAGCTTAAAAATATTTCATACGAGTGGAGGTAGAATCAAGGTTTAAATCTCGACCAGTTATCGCGGTACATATTATGGAACAATTTAAAATCTTATTATTTTCATTTAGCTACTTGATTTTTTATAAATATAAATCGAGGTCTTGAACATATTTCTACATCGTCCGGTTCTTAGTTTGAGAGGAATTAAAAAAAAAAAAACTATCAAAACGACGCCGTATCTTTGACAGAAAGAAGGGAAAAAAAAAAAAAAAGAGAGAAAAAAAAACCACCCCGCCATTTTCCCTAAAACCTCCTTGCTCCTCCAAAACTAGGGAGTTGCAGATAGTTTGGAGCTTCGTATCAATGGGAACCTCTGTTCAGGTGACGCCTCTTTGCGGCGTGTACAATGAAAATCCTTTATCCTATTTGGTCTCCGTTGACGGCTTCAACTTCCTTATCGACTGTGGTTGGAACGACCACTTCGATCCTGCTCTTCTTCAACCTCTATCCAGGTTCGCTTTCTCAACATTTCTTTGCAATCTGTTTTGTTTGAGCTGAACTCGTAAGTTTCATGTATTGAAGCTGCTGAATGCCATGTGGATGTCGACTGGTACTAGCCGAGTAAGGAAATCAGTGATACCTAGCTGTTTTCGCCGGTTCTGAAACGTGTTAGGTTCTTAAGAAAATCGGTGGAATGGTTCATTAGAAGTTCTTCT